CTAAATTGGACAATTAACTTTCTGGATAAATTTGACAACGAATTTCCAGTTTTCTAAAAGAAAAAGGAGAAAAATTCAGAAAGTGCAAACCAAAGCATTTTACCCTCTGGAAGTGCCTACATTCTCTACACTGCCAGTGAAAGACAAAAGAAGTGGACCAAACCTTCAGGCATCCCAGACTCTTTTCTGTCATTGCAAAAAGCAGTTGGAATAGCTGTTAGGTAGGCTGGATTGACATCTTTTGTGTGACATTTTTGTGGGTGTTGTAGTGATCAACTTAGATACTTAAATCAGAGGGAACACCTGCTTTACTGTGGAATTTGCCTTCCAGAGGCAAACAATTTGCAGATGTTCTCCAAAAAGGGTAATCTCACACCTTTTTGAATGCCTTATCTTAGAGAATAACCATACAATATTCATTTAATTTCTCAAGAGCAGTGTATCTTGCAGTATATTACTGATCAAGCTTTTATTAGGCTTTTAACAGCCTTGTAGAAGCCAGATTATGCTCACCCCATATCTTTAGGTGTACAGACATGAAATAGAAGTGAATTCTTCTGTAATTCTTGTATTCATAAGAATAAGGAGCCTGCTTGTAGAGAGGCAGTCACTGTCATAAAAGGTATGGGAATGAAGGTTAACACAGTAGTGGGGGAAAATGTGCTGTATCCTTAGAAATAGTAATATTATAGCTGTGATTTCAAGGAATTAGAAGTTGCAGTTTCTATAGGAGACAATGAAACTCTGCCCACCCTTCCCCTCCTTTTCCTCTCTCATGACCAGAAAATGATAAATACTACAGTCCCACCCTTGATATCATATCTAACTACTGCCAGGGTAACCATTTTGGAATGTACTTGCCATTAGCTTACATGTAATATCTGCTGTGAGTGTCCTTTGGATAACAGATGACAAACCAGTCTGTCCCAATTCATTAATTGGCTTAACATAATTTGTTTGAGATGTCAGGATAAAAGCTTCCAAGCACCTGTATGCTCCAGTGTGCTTCCACATCTGCAGAACTTAACTCACTGGCCTATCAAAATTAACTTGAAACGAACTAAAAAGCAGCAGTATAAGAAAAATAGAGTATTTTGTTGTATTTGGTTTTAGTTCTTACCTGGAAAGGAATAACGAGATTCACAGTTTCTCCAACTCTTCGAGTATAGGTTTGCTTTAAGTGTCTTGGTAGACGAATCTTCGGAGGTTCTGAAAAAAGCCAAAAGCTTTTGATTGATATTTATCTTTTTTCCTAACTGAGGCAGCACTGGTGGGCATCAGTACAAATAGGAGATTCTGTGCCCTACAATTCCCAGAAGTGACTAATGAGTGAGGTATCTTAAATCTTTTGGTCCCACAATGTTACATATGGTACGCTGTCAGGTTTTGTAATAACAAATACTATGGTGGTAAGAACAGGTGAGAAGCTTAGCCCAACTTAAAAATGTAACATCAAGTTCAGGTTTTGCAGGGAAAAAAAAGAAGCCTTGAAAGCCTGAGCAATAAAGGTTTAGAAATAAAACAAACAGACAGAACTAAAATTTTCCTTAAAAGATGGTTTCATAATTTCTAGACAGTTCACAATGGCCCTGTAAGGCCATATCATCAGTTTCCAATAAGTATTAGCCTTAAAATGACAGAGCTAAGTATGGAAGCAGAGCGTATTTGTGGGCAAGCACAAGCAGAAGGATCTTACCTATCACTTCCTTGACTAAAATAGGCTGTGGGTGGTACCTGGGCTCACTTTCACCAGCAGCATTCACAGCTTTTACTCTTTTTTTTTTGGGAGCCAGTTGGCAGGCCATTGATAGTAAATTTCGTTTTGTCTGTCAGCTCCGGGTTAGCCACGATCCATTCATCAGCTAGTTTAGGGAAAAGAGGGTGGCAGGATGAATCAAAAGAGTAGGGAGTTGTAAATGCATCCACTGCACAGATGAGGAAAATTACAGAACAGTAATATATATATATAATTTTATGTATATTCATTATGCTATGTATTATATTATTAATGATATATATTCATTATATTCTAATTAATACTTCTATTTTGGTTTTCTAATTATGCTATAACATGATATTGATTCACTTTCAATATGTAGGAAGAATGTTTCAAACCTTAAAGGGTTTCTGCTGGTTATATATTTAAAGAAATAAATGGGTTTGAATGTGTCTATCATTTAATTGTACCAGAGAGAAAACTGATTAGTTTTTAAATTCAGCTGATAGAAACAGGGGGACATAGCATACATTTCCAAAAGTACTCATCATTGCTTTAACAGCTTCCTTGGAGAGAAATGAGTTCTATAATTAATTTCAACCAGTACTGAATACCCTTCAAAGTGCTACTGAGTGTAGGGATGAGAGAAACACAGAATATTTACAAATTGCAATGAAATGCCATCTCTCCTTGTGCCTTTAAATAAGGAAGGCTGTGTCAGAATTATTCACATTATCACAGCATTCTTGGATTATTTTCACCCTACTCCTAGACATTCGCATGTAATCCATAGAGTGATCATAACAGTTCAGTCTTTCAGAAAAGCTTCAGTTACAAGCAACACTTTCTTTTCCACCCTGTCCTCCAAACGTAGATTGCTTTATCACTGCTGGTACCTTGGCATTTGGAGCCAGTAGCAAGTCAGTATACTTGAATACTTAACAATCATGTAGTTGGCACAGAAGACAAGAGAACTATTATAAACTAGAGAGCCTTGCAGACTAAGAGCACAATACTGTGATACATTTTCATAACTCTATGTCTTACTTTTAGGAATTAAGTTCTCCTTCAAGCTGCTTCTTTCAGGTTCTAGCAGAAGAGGATTGAAATCAATGACTGTTTCCGAAGCACCTCACCCTCCCCCCTTGCAATATGTACTGCAGCAAATTCTTTAGACTGTTGGCCCAAACATTCCCTCTCAGAAATTTATCTTTACTTCCATGAAGAGATTTTTTTTATTTCATTAAAGAAGACTTATATCCTTTGTTGAATACTTTACCTTCCACGTTAAAAGGTGGCTCCAACAATTCCTCAGACACATCTGTCGATATACCTTGTGAGAATCCATCTTTAAAATTAATCAGAGACACCCACTTTCACACAGATGGAGCATTTTGTCAGTGGTTAGCAATTCCTGTTAGTAAGTATGCAAAGATAGATGCTGGGCTTTTAAGATATAGAAGACCCGTATTTAGGAAGAGTGCATGGAGGAAAGAGATGGGAAGAAGGCATCTAGATCAAAGAACAGTTATGAGTGATGCTCACAGGAAAGCTAAAGGATAAAGGAAGAGGAGGAGATAAAGTTGTTTGGGTTGTTTCTTTTTCCTTTGGGCCTAATCACAGCCCTGGAAAGATGAAAAGGAAATGACAAAAGGAACACTTGGAAGAGAGAAATAAAATGAAATGATGATGGGACAAAGCATAGAAGGAGGAGAAAACACATCATAGAAGAGAGAAGAAATTCAGAGAAGAGTTCTGAGTAAAAGAGAGAGAAAGAAGGGAAGTCTTGGAAAAAAACTTGGGGAAACAAAGCAAGAGATGTAACATATTTAGCTAATGGCAACATAGATAGAAAAGTAAAGAAGGCTAAAACCATGGACGATAACAGATATGATATAATCAGTAAGGCTTTATTTCCTGGACAAAGCTCTTACTGCCCTGGATTTCCTGGAATCCTGCCCCTGGCTATTTTCAGGATAATAAAAATACTATTCTGGTATCTATGCATGGTCCTGGATGGGTACAATGGCAAATATCTCAGCCAACTGTCTCCAAAGTGCTTATTTACTAGCTATGAAAACTGATCATCTGCACATACAATGGCCCTTTAAAGGCAGATAAACATAGTATCCTAGGGAAATCTATGGCCAAGCTCATCAGGCTACCCTTGAAACTTCACACAAGAACCAGTTGGCAGCATACTCTATTTGGAATTGACTTCTCCAGTGTCAACAAAGTTTGGTTTACTACACATGGCCACAGCAAGAGGTTCAAGTCAGATGTTGTAAACTAGCCCTGTGGAGTTCTATGTTCACATTATTCACACCTATGCAATGCAAAATCCAGATACTCATGATGAAACTCCAGTTCAGTAATACACACAGAGAGCTGTCAAAGGTGCTACCGTAGTTAGAGAAGTCCAAGAGTTCACCATGTTAATCAAGTTACGAGGTTCAGACTAAAGGGAAACACCAATTTTCGCAAAGCTGAACCAATGCTCATACTACATAATTCTAAATTATAGTTATATATATATTTTGTCTTCCTGTTTTCAGCTTGTGATTTCTCCTAATGATTGCTATGATAAGGAAGCCTCAAAAAAGCCTTCTTTAAAACTACTTCAGTGACAATGATAAAGCAATGGAGAAGGTAAAAAAAAAAAAGAGTTAACAAACAGATAACTAAAAGAAAAGAACAACAGAATGGATATAGACAGTCATTAAAAGTATTTTGAAATTAAGGAGAGTTATGAAAAATTATGGAAGAAATTAGTCTGAGGCAGAACAGGCACTGAAAAGACTGAGAAAAGGAGGCACTGTGATATTGCAAGAAAGAAAAGGACTGAACACAAAGAAAAAGATGTATATTCCAATAAAACATCTTAATTGGTATTTTCTACTAAGTTTGCTTCTTCCTAACCATTTTCATAACATATATACATAAATAATGTCAATTTTGTATATATATATGTATATGCATATATAGGAGGCATATATAGATATACATAGACACTCAGAAAGCTATGTAAAATACATTGTACCCATTGTATTTTAACCAAGGTGGGTAACAATAAAATGACAGACTTCACTGCCATTTTGTTGTATCTTCATAGTTTTAAAACCTATCTGAAAAAAAAAAAGAGAGTAAAGAATTTGTTCCGTTCAACAAGTATAAAATCATCTTCTGAGTAATAGTCTTTAAAGGACAGAGTTGGAAGATTCCTCTAAAAATCTATTTTTCACTAGTGTATATATACAGCACTTTAAGTTTTTTCCCCGCCATCCTACCAATGGATGCTAAACAGAGCATAATATACAGCATATACTGAAGTCCTCACATTGACATCCCCCTTTACATTCCCATACATCTTGCCTGTCCAATGGAGACATTATAGGAATGCTGCATCTTGATGTAAGACTGCATGCTTACTAATTCTGAGCTGTTCCCACAGCTCCCTCCCAATATACAAGGAAAACCTTTCCTACCATTCCAGCTGTTGTCTGCCTTCAGGTAAGCTTCTCCAGATCTCTGAGCTTCTTGCAGTCTGTTTCAGCTGCTTACGGATGATCAGCTCAATACTACAAGATGCTGAGTGCTCCTCAGAAAAGCCAGTGGTTCTTCTTCACTCCCTCTCCCACTCGCCTGAGAGAGCTTAGGGAACTCTGCTCCTGTCGTATCTGACCACTTTTGTGAACTACTGTTTTCCTGGATTGTCTGAATTTGAAACATGTCACAGAGTGAACGACAAGTTCTGTCCTCTACCTCCTGTCTCCAGGCTGTGGACTGTAGTCATGAAAAGCTTTTGTTGAAGTAAATGCCTTTATGAAGAAAGGTGTCCAACTCATCACTTGATTCACAGTGCGGTTAAGAGGTGCGGAGAGTGGAGCTGAAGATACCTGTGTTGCATTCATCCAAATACAACATTGCTGGAGTCCCACTGATTGGCATTTGCCACAGGTGCTCAGTATTGCACACACCACTTCAGGCTGTTTGATACTTACCCAGGTGTTGGTGGAGTTTAATTTTTGTAAATAGACTTCATTTGATGCCAATTCAGAAGAAAATCTGCTGGAAAATACTGAGTTTCTGCTGCTCGATCACCAAAGACTCTTAGTTGTAAGACATAAATTATATTTCCCTATTCTTTCATAAGTTTATTCAGTCTCTTGCATCTTTGTCTTACTCCTTTGGTTTTGTACAGATTTATGTCTTAGATGGACATAGTTAAAAATCTTGAATCTAACTACACTGAAACATTGGAGAAATTCAAAATCAAGACATGAACTTTGCATGCCCAGCTAACTTCTACAGCCAGCTGTTGGAGAAGCTATCTGTCCTCAGTATTGGGAACTGGCACTTGAAGTAGCCAATTAGAAGTAATGTCATGACAGGGTTTACTACACTGAGGATCGGCTGTCCCTAAAACCCAGCCAAGCTGCACATATTCTGGACCACACATTTTCCTATTCATTCATCCATCCACGCTTTACTGCATTGACTCAGTAAAAAGAGCTCAGGAAAAGAGAAAAGTTTTTAACACAGTACTTGGTCCACTACAATAGATTATATGGCTTTTGATTTGTATTTCAGATCAAATGTAAGATGCATTGAACTACAGTCAATGGGTAGGATCTGGAACACAAACCAAACAAAGCCTGCACTAACCCCTGCTGCTTGAGGTTTTCTGACTGATTAGTCTCTGCCTTAAAGTGAAAGCACCTAATACCTGTAGAGAAAAAAATGGAGAAAGTCTCACCTACTTTCACTGTGAGTAACATACCGCAGGCATTGTCACTTACTTCCTTCAAAGCAGTACTCTACAACATAGCCATCTAACCCTGCTGCTCCGATGTGGTCTGGTGGCCTCCATTTCATTGTAACTGAGGTATCAGTCACTCCATCCACTGCCAGGAGAGTTGGTGGGCTAGTAACAGCTGAAGCAAGCAGGCAGAGGGGAGAAGTCAGAAAAATGTGTTACAATTAAAGTATTACATTTATGGTGTGTATTCCTCTAATTTAGCATCATAGGTGACAGGCTAAATCCTGCCTATGAGGTGTTTCCAATCACCCCGCCATGTCTTTCCCAATTAGGACCAAACTAGGAGAAGCAGGTATCTCATCCCATACCTGCTGACAGTCTGACCCAGAGTTAAATTCCTCCTGCTGAGGAATGAGAAGGACAAAGAGTAGTGGAAAGTAGAACAGAGAAGTTGTAAGTAGTGTGTTCTACAACTGCAGGTGTTTTCAGGCAAGAGAAGAGCGTGCTGTAACAATAACAGCCACCTTCTTCCTTCTCCTCTGCATTGTGGAGGTGCCGCTGAGCAAGGTGGGAACCTTTGCTAGCCTATCAAACAAGACACCTTTCTTTTACAGGGGCTTGTGGTTGTCACAATAGTTAGAAAATCTGTTTCTTCATATGAAAAGGACACCAAATCAGTCTGTCACAAGGCGAATGACAAGGCCCTCTAGCTGTTTGTGCTGGGTTCAGCTGGGCTTAAACCACGACACTGTTACATTAATATAAAGCAGTAAGATGACATGTAGAATAGTATAAAATATGATCTAGCCTAATCTGAATTGTCAGCAAAAGGATATAGAAAATATGTGATACCTTTCTAGGAAAAAAGCCCCTGCTTCATCTAATGTGTATCCATGAGGCAGAGAGAGATACTCAAATGTATCCCATCATATGAGATTGCAATATTGGGCAAATTCACTTATTTTTTCCATAAATTTCTAACTTTATGATAGATTGCATACATGTGATTTTTTTTTAATGGAAATATATGGGTTATTTGTGAATGCTTGTACATTTTTAAATGGCAAGCTACTATGTAACAGCAAAACAAGTAGTGAAACATGAAAGAAGTCTCATTTTCAAACAGAACAGACTGCAAATAGTGATCTTCAGACTTCTGGTCAGTTCTCCTGACCATTTTTGGTCAAAAGACAGTGCCTGACTGAACTTACAGCAGGAAGAAGACACACAAAACAACAGAGACTATAATCCATCATCTTTATGAATTCTCTAAACTGTCAGTTTGACTGGCAATAGTTTCATGCTATTGTCTCAGGTGGTACCTAAGATATACAAAAACATGGAACTGTTAGTTCTGGTCCTTAAAACATGTTGGTCATAGTATTGATCATATCAGGCTCACCTATAGCAAGACACTGTTTTATTGTAGTTCACCTTTTTTTCTGTCTATACATCTTTGTTTCTTGCTTATAAAAGACTATAAATCCTTCAGGGATAGACATATAGTTTTTGCAGCACCTATTAAAGACAGGTCTTGAGCAACACAAGTGCAACAAGAACTACAGTTATATAATTAGATGACTGTAATAGTGTATTAATGGTAACTTTCTAAATGCATGCTTATTTCTATGCTCTTGATTACTTACCCAAAGGAACAAATGACTTTGAAGGCATACTTGGTTTGGAAATGCCTATTGCATTAACAGCAAATACTCGGACCTCATAAGCAACACCTTCAATCATCTTCTTTGGCTCAAAAGTTGTTTCTTTTATCAATTCAAAATTCAACCTCATCCACCTGGAGCTTTGTTTCTTTTTCCTTTCAATGAAATATCCTATTGACCAAACAAAATTTTATTATATTGAGTGGTGGTGTAAAGCTGGTGGTGAGTGGTCTATATTTTGACTGCCCAGTGGCATGTATTCTGGATAAACCTCAACATCCCCCTCTAGCCTTAGAGTGGTTTATTGTTAAATTTTACCCATTGCAAGTTGTCTGATAGTCACCTGCTTAGATTTCACAGACATGTATGAGCTTTTTTTGGACTTCACTTACAGCACCACTGTATGTAGTTCAGAGGGAGAAGGGCCTGATTCTGCTGGTTTCGGGGTCTCTCTGACTTTCCTCTCAGTTCATTGTATTTGCAGATACTACAATTTACTCTATAAATTGTTTCTGAAATTCCTGCTAACATTCAAACAGACTAACTGTTCAAAGTCTGGTATTATAAAAGGTTGTCTTTCAAGTAGGGGGATTGATAATGTGACAACATGCAAAATGACAAACCTCAAACCATTAGAAAAGCAAGTATCTGGTAAAGTCAAAGATTGGGTAGAACATTCTTGCAACTGGATAATCAAAGTGCAACTCTGCAGAGCCTGAGCTAAGTGCTGATCTTATTGTGTTCACTTTCTGGGGTTTGTTTCTTTTGTCTATATTAGAACATCACCACAAAAAGAAGAAAAGTGTGTACCTAAGATGGGTGATCCACCATCATTTGCTGGAGGTTCCCAGGTCATAACACACCAGTCTTCACCCACCTCAGTCACATTTGGTGCCTGAGGAGGATCAGGGACATCTATTGTAAACAAAGTAAATATTAATTAATTAAATAAATAGATTTTTAGTCTTTTGCATAGGTTGAATGAAAAATGACAAATAAGAAACAAATCTGAATAGTTTTTGAAATGCAGCAGGAGTTCCTAATGAGGAGAGAAAGAAGGTCTTTGTGGATCCTGACAGGTAGTTAGGAACAGATAAATGCAAAGCTCTTCAACACAGTCAGGACTCCTGAGAGGCACCTGGGAATGTGTGATAAGACAGAACCCACAGCCACATAAAGCATGGAGAACAGAGAGTGTTAAGGGTAGCCTGAGGCAGCTGCACTAGTTTGGACCCTGCAACACGGGATGTTGGCAGGGTGGTAATTAACTCCTGCTTAAATCCCATGCTAAGCTCCTGTGTCCTTCAGTAAAGTATCCTTGCATCTCAATCCCACATCTGAAAATGGGGACAAACAGGGAAATGGAAGTTTTCTGAGAATCTACAACAGTTTAGCAGCTGGGGAGGACAGCATTTACAGAATCCCATCAAATAGAGGAAGAGGAATCTGTCTCTGGTTGGGGTACAGAAAAGTAGGATTCTCTAAGGAACATATATTGAAAAGGGCTGTGATAAAAGACATGGCTCATGTGCACTGTTTCACACGACTTACCAACCACTTTAATGTTAATTAGAGCTGTGTCTTCTCCAGCCTCATTCTTCAATGTTATTCTGAAAGGACCTGAATCTTCCCTCTCAGCTGTATCGATGACCAGACAGCTGCTATCTGGGTATGTTTCTGCCCGTATTCTTCCACTGTCTGTGATCCCCTAGGAACCAAAGTAAGCAGAGGAAAAAATTATATTTTTTGCATTTGAGAATAAAAACATTCAAAAATCCAAACGCAATACAGGATACCTCAGCAAACATATTAAAGCAACTTTAAGAAAAAACACTCTAAAAGCTCAGCATTTCAGTCACCTAATGATCACAAAAAGGAAAAAGTAACTGAGGGGCAAATAAATAGCTTTAAAATATGGTAACTGGTTAGCACTCAGCTCACCCATTGCACCTCAATGGAAGAGTCACTAGGTTTACTTGTCTTGTGAGCAAGAACATGCTTTTGTCAACACTACCTGTCATTAATTTGATGGCAACAAAAGAGTAGTGGGTTCTCTCAAAAGTCAGATTGAAATGTGATTCATTCAGTTTAAAGGTCAAAGAGATTGAGAAGGTCAGTAATTTGTCCTCACAGATTTCAAATGCTGGCACATATTTGAAATAAGAGCTCTCCTAAAATTCTCTATTTGGAAAAGTCCACAGTGGTGATACTACAATTAATATTTGCAAAATAGTAGTTGGAGATTGCACCAGATAGGTCTGACAAATCCAGAAATAATAATATTTTCCAGCTTCCACATGCCACAATGAAAGATTAAATGTGGAAAGTGGGTCTTCGGTATTACACAGCCAGGGACTGATCTGTGTTAAGTTTTGCATTAAGACACCAGATGCAAGACACCGAGTGCCCAGCCTATTATTTCATTTGAAACTTGACACACCATCAGAATATATCATTTATTTTCCAAAACCAGACTGTACTATGGCTTCCTGTCAAAACCTAGCATCCATTCTGGGCAATATGTACAGTAGAAGTAGCCATTTGGTAGATTTTCACTAGTTTTCTCCCACATCCCATATATCCCTCTCCTTTACAATTTATTTATAGGAAACCCATATTTTTTTCCTCCATTAATGTCATCCTTTCCTCAAAAAGATCCCCAAAATACTGCATATTCATCCATTTTACCCTTCATTTTTGAGTGAGGAGAGTTTTTGCATGTCCTCCTTACTTTCCGCCATTAATGCAACGTCTTCACAAGGACAAAGGTTATTTTTTGGAGGAAAAGGCCCCTTGTTAAGCTAAAGAAACATGTATAATGTACCTTGTCCCCTCTACTCCACACAACTTTTGGAGTTGGCTCGCCAGTGATGGGGATCTCAAGTCGTAGTTTGCTTCCTGCCACTACTGTCACAGTGTTATTTTCCCCAAGACCATCCAGGTGGAGTTTAGGAGGATCTGAAAAAGAAGAGATTGTCCAAATTTGCTGTGTGACTGCCACTCTGAGAGTTCAGTGATCTGGCAAAGGTCTACAACAGAGAGAAACAAGCTCTATAGTTTGTATTTTCCTGGTATTTTCAATCAACTGATCTTTTGTGTGGAAGAAAATTTGTGAAGAAAATTTCTTCTTAACAAAATAGTTGTCTGATGAAAAATAAATCATGCTACCATAGACATTTTGGAATAGTAAGACCGTAAAAAAAAAGTAAATCTATCTTCCTGAAGCAGAATTATGTATATTCAGGTAACTTCTGAGAAACATTTCCTCTAAGTGGCTCTTAAAAATTTCCATTGCAGGCTTTCTGCAACACCTTTGATCATGCCTCAGACATCACTGTTCTTACAGTTTAAATCCTTTTTCTGAAAATGAAGTGTTCACTTTTTTGTACCCATGTGTATGGAGAACAACTGATAAATATCCTCTTACAACTTTTTTTATTGCATTGGAAGATATATAAGCAGGCATATCCCTCTAGTACCCCTTCCCTCTTCATTCTCCCTAAACGTTGCCAATACTTTTTTTTAACACAGATATCCCATTTCTTTGAGCTTCAATTACAGAATGTATTTGCTAAAACTTTGGTCATTTATATTGCTTTCCTTTTGACTTCCAAGTTGCTGGTTGCAGTTACTCTTTTGGGAAGAGTCAATGCTTTGTTTTATTTTTGTTCAAAAGACTGGGACCATTAACAAACCTTCTGTTTTGCTGAATGAAGAGAAGCTGGCCAGAAACATTTTTCTCTCTAGATACCATTTAATATATTTAGGGAATAGGTAAATATGTACCTATTCTTTTTTACCAAACTAAATCACATTTCACAATGTCAGCAAACCTATTCTTCAAAGATGACAACACTGTATACCTGAAAAGAGGATAGCAATAGGTGTTTTACACAAACTTTTATTAGTGGTTTAGGTTTAGGATCTCAACATCAAGAAGGCTTCCCCGTGAGCTCCCCTAGGCTCGTAAACTAGAGCAGATCTTGAGCACAAGCACAACACGCTCTAACTCACTTGCACTTAGTAAAAGCAGCAGGTCAGTTTTCTCTGGTATATGCCTGCTCAGAGGAAACAAACTGATTGTAATCAAGGGTATTTCACACTGCTTTTAATTTCTAAAGGTCAGAGAAAGAGATGTTATATGTAAATCATTATGCCAAGTACTTACCCACAACATGTACTTTGCATGGAATATTAATATTATAGGCATCTGGTACAAACATGTATTCACCCTCATCATCAACAGCAGCACTCGCTATAACAAATCTGTGGATTCTGCAAAAAGTTGAAAAAAAGAATTGGTCTAAATTTTTTTTGAAGACTGAAGCTATGAGATAAAATCTGTGAAAAGTTCAGGACATCTCTGCAAGTGTGTAGAATTACTGACTAAAAATCCTTTGCTGGCCGCTTAGTGGTACTTTCGCTGATTAAATACCATGTGATTTGTACAAAGCATTACTGAGACAATCATCAAATTATGTAACCAATTCTAATATTTTTTGTTTGAACACAGAGGTAGAAAAATATGGGAGTGCAATGTCTGACACAGGGATTTTGTGCTGCTTCTATTAGATTGTAAGTTTGTTATTCAAGATGAAATCTTTAGGTGACCCCATTTTTGGAATATTCTGACTTTTGTTAGACAATCTTTATGAAAAGATCTAGTCTACTATTTGTTTGCCAGAATAAAGAAATGGGTGAGCAAAGCATATACTGCTTTACTTGACTGTGTCTTCCAGTATGATGATACTCTTGCTCTCCTGTGACCTGCTGTGCTAAGCTTTGTTCAAAGTAGAACTCACCTCTGTCCCCTTCTTGCTCCCTTTTCCCTCACCTTGCCCTATGGGCGGGCATACATGGGTCGTGAGGAGCATATTCAGTTTATGTCAATCCAAGGGGTCACTGCACAGCTGGTACTTGTCCCCTACTACAACTTAGCAAGCATTATGGAATCAATGCAAACATGTTACTTGTTGAGCAGAGGGCTGGAGCACCTCTCCTATGAAGACAGGCTGAGAGAGTTGGGATTGTTCAGCCTGTAAAAGAGACCTCTCTCTGGGAGACCTTAAGGCAGCTTCTGGTGCCTAAAGGGGCCTACAAGAAATCTGGAGAGGAACTTTTGACGGGGGCATATAGTGACAGGATGAGGGGAAATGGCTTTAAACTGACAGAGGGGAGATGATCTTCACAAGTGCAGTTTCCAGCTGTATGAATGGTCTACTAAGCTGAACTGAATGGGATGTAGTTAAAGGTAGGACGTGTTTGTTTGGTTTGGGGTGGGTTTTTGTTTTTTATTGTTGTTTTTTGATTGGTTTTGGTTGGTTGTTTTTTTGTTTTTCCTTAAACTGACAAACTTTCCATGAAAAAGGACAGACTAGAGATGCAAAGGAATCTGATATCTCCAAATACTTTATGGAGATACATGGTCTGAGTCGACACAAACATAACCTATCAGAAAAACAGACATTTAAAAGCCATCTACTAACAGCAACAGCAATGTCAAGAAAAATTAATAGGTTGATCTTAGATGGATCAAGGATTTTATTATTGTCCTCCGCAGCCAAAAGACACATGATGAAAGGAGGCAAGGAGTCATGACTTTCATGATGATAAAAAAAAGTATGTTTGAGGGACAGAGGTTAGGCTTGACTACCGGATAATTTTCAGTGAAGTAACCCACACATTGGCACATCTCTACAGTGTCATTTCATCAGAGTCAAGTCAATACACAACAGGCTTACCTTCCTTTGTGATAAAGCTTTACACGGTCACTGGCTTCGATCAGTTGCCCATTTTTGTACCATTTCCCTTCCACGTTCTCAGATATCTCACACTTCAGGTGGATTTCCTGTCCAAGTCTCACAGTCTGGTCTTCAAGTGCAAGTGATATCTTCAGTGGTCTCACTTAGGAAAACAGAAGCAGAGATATTAGTGCTAATATCAAACAAGAGCTCATGGTTCTGTCACAGAGCAGCTACTAGCCACCACAATAGTCTTCAAATCAGAAAAATGTCTCCAATAATAAAGTTCTCAAGCTGAAATACCACCAATATGTACATGTGAGCTACATAAATTACCTTCTTTTCATGGACGATGATACCTTAGGGTGATCCAAAATACCCATGCCCTGACTGAGGAAACTCCATGAGTGTTGCCAGTAGAAGAACTAAGCCCAGGACTGTAATTTTAATGCTGTTCCCTCTCTGGTGTTTAGGTGCTGGAGGTAGGGTGCTTCTACACCCCCCCCCCCCACCCCCCCCCAAAGTCCAGTAAGAAACTTTCAAGAAGTGAAAGACTTATGTCCCCAGACCTATGCACTAGAAGGGATTGCAACCCACATTTCCTCTCATCTAACAGTGATCAAGCTGCTCTCATAGCTCTCCCAGCTGATCTGAGATAATTTGGAGACTTACCAAAGTCTTTCATCACAACCGGGGACTGTAGTTCTCAATCTGTTTTGTCAGGCTAGTAGCAAAGGCTGACTGGCCAGTAAGCTTAACTTCATACTGTACTTGATACCAGCTAAATAATAGAACAGCATGAACTGGTTGTGCTTAGGATGCCAATTTGTACAAAATAGTTAAAACCGTATGAGTATTAGAAAACAGAGTATGTTTATGCTCATGATAACTTTAGAGAATGGGCACATACACTTAGCTAAAAAACACAGCATTTAAAACAGATATTGCACAAACAATACTAAGGGAGCTACACAGTCATGTGTTTGGGCCTGTGAGTTCAGGTCAAGTGACACTGATGCTTTTTAACAGTATTCCTAGTTACAGAACTGCTTATTTTTTCCAACATACCCTTTTTTCTGATATTTATTAAAAGGCCATGGTTTGGCTTTCCTGTGAGAATCTGAAAGGATTAAAGGAAGGTGGATACTTTGCTTGAAGATTTCGCTTTATTGATCTATTATATATTTGGATGGATAGCTTGGTTTTCCATCTTAACTGAGTTACAGAAAATTTTCAACCAGGACTAGTTCATTGCCTGTTACTGCAAAGTCTAAAATAAAGTCATTGTTCTGGAGATTTGCAACAGAAATATTGGTATCAATTTAAGCCTCCATTTAAACCCCCAGGAAAAGATTTTGACATACGAATTCAAGAGCAAGACAGGTGATACTTACAATCAACAGAAAGCTTAGCTTCTGATTGGCCTCCAGTTGTCATTACTGAGTAGGTTGCATTGTCATTTTTTGCAGCTTCCTCTATGACCAAAGTGTGTTTCTTGCCCTCAACCTTGATTCGATACCGAGATTTAGGATCATTGCTAAGTTCTACACCATTCCTAAACCTAATGGAAAACAAAGAATGATTATTTTTCCAATAGAAGTCTTGTGCAAATAAGACTCCCATAGACTGACACTTCCAGAGAAAACTATAAGACTTAAGACACAAGAAAATATTAAACAAACTCAATCCTTGAATTTGTAAGGATAGTTTTGCTGTTGCTACATTTTTGAACAATGTTTTCTTGAGATTTACTTAACAATTGTCAGGTTTACTGGTATAGAAAAAGCTGTCCCCATTTTTGCCAATAATTCGAGTATTCTCGGGTTTATTCTCAGGTAAAACAGTATCTGCTCAAAGTGTGGCTTACCATTTCACATTTGCGTTTTCCTCAGACACTTCACAGCTCAGTTCTACTCGTTCACCAACATAGGTACTGGTATCCTCCAGACCTTTGGTCACCAAAATTGGAGGATCTTTGGAAAGAGTAAATTACACAATTACAGTCTGAGAGAGAAAACTAAGTGAAAGAGGTTTTCAATATAATGCTGTAGAAGACAACACTAGTTTAAAATTCTAATATTAGTCTCAGTGCAACTTTTTCTGCTTTTGAAAAGTCATTCCTCATTAAGATGGGAGTAGGAAATATGACAAATGAAAAAAATAACATTCGTTCAGGTTAATACCTGCCTTGCATCCTATTTTATTAACAGCTTGTCCAGGCAGGTCAATAGGAGAAGCTGACATTCCACTCTTGCCTCCTGTAAAACCCTTTCATAAAGCTGTACTTTCATTAGGTACTATAGCCCATTGTGCACACTAAGATGACCTGATGACATAACACTGTGCCCTTATTGGTTTAACCCAGTCCGGCTGTCAAAACTCAAGTCTATTTACTAGCAAGAAATTGTACAACAGTTAGCCTATGATATTTATAGGGGCAATGTGATTTGTCATCTTGAATAGTTTTCTGAAATATTTGATGATTTTTTTTCTCTCACTGTAAGTTTTATTTTTCTGTTTGTTTTGTTGTGCCATGAATATTACCAGTACAACGGTCAACACTGTGGGAGCAAAAAAGGTGAAGAAATGGCCATTCATTCACAGATATTGATAGTCTTCTCTTAAATCTGTGCTGATAGAATGAAAGCTAGCTGCTAGAAAGCCTGATCTGAGGGTACTTGAAACAGCCCAGTTGGACCAAGAGTGTCCGGGTCATCGGGTACTTAAGTGTGGTGTTAGAGAAAGCCAACACTATGACAAACTATTCTCCAAAATGGCTTTAGAATTCTGAAGAAGACCACAGCCTCACTAGATCCCGACAGTATGAAATCAGCCATATCTCCACTTCAGGGTTTTCACCAAGTTACTAAATACAGGATGAGGAAAGCAATGGCCAGGGATCACAGAAATACAGAGTGATCCTAAGAGCTGCTAATACAAATACAAAAATATACTGAACCAGATCATCCCTGTTAATCTCTGTTGCAGTCAAAGAAGCCACCACAAATTACAGCAGGTGAAATAGGAGTAAGCTGACATAGTTACCTCTCACAAACAGTTCTGTGGAGCATTTCTCATCACCAGCTGTTACGTAATAGCGAGCATCGTCTGCCATCGTACAATTATTGATAAATAAAATTCTCTGGTTACCCTTGTGCTCAAAAATGTATCTGTTTGAACAGGAACACAGCAAAGGTAAATTAGCAAAACTTCTGCACCCTTTTGTTTTATGTAGTAAGTGCTTTAGGGATTATTAGAGGTGAGAAGTCTCATTTTTACAAAGAACTGGAAAAATTGCCCTTGGAAGTGATTTCCAATATTCAACAGAACTCTCAAAGAGTTTTTAGCAAAAAGAGTCATGGTGTAAAGGGACAATGAGCATCTTCTGGCTTCTGGCTTGTTGGAAAATCCCAGGCTTCGGTATTATGAAAAAATAAATAAAAATAGAAGAGCAGGCTTTGAAGGATGGCAAAAAAAATGGAGTCTGAAACTCTAGATGAGTAAAGATGAAAATAACCAGTAACAGGACACCATCCTCATTCCAACACTCTTAACATTTTTGTGAAGTATAATAATAGCCGAAGTTAAGAAGTTAGTATTATTGGTAGGCCAGATGGCACAGGAGATCAGTAATGGGATATGGGGTTTTGGTAATGGGATATGGAGCCTTTCACCTTTCTGTCACCAATTTTGATCTGCTCCAGGTTTTGTAATGACCAAAGCTCGTTAGCATCTGACAGCTGTTTCAGCAGCCTGGAAGAAATTCACTAGAGCATTCAATCCAGGTCCTTCTACTGGAGAGGTAACCATATAGCTGCCTGCAAGACACTTCTGAACTGCTTTGGCAGATATATGGGCTAAAGAAAAGGTATCCTGTTTATTATGCATTTTTTGTCAACTATGAATACTAATCAACACCCTTTAATGACTTTTGCAGCAACTGAATGAAGAAAATGTGCCCCTTCTTTGTAAGAGGGCTTTTGCTAATTTCTGTTTTTACACAGGACCAGAGGGAAAAGTTGCTAGAATTTTGTGGAGCTGAGAAAAACTTAAACATTACATTGTTGTGCATTACTGGTTGCAAATCATCATTCCTAGGTGTGTCTGACTGCGGAATGAGATTTTCTGCACCAGACTGTATGAGCTGGTTGTGCCCATACTAGGGACTGGGCTCAACTTCCAGCCATTGTTCTACGTGTACTCAAGTGTCTGCACCTGAAAAAAACACTTCTTGTAGATAAAGCAAGAGTGTAAACCAGTATGCAGGTGATACCAATGATGAAGCAGCTTGTGTTAAACATCTCTCCTCTTAGAATCCAGTTACTATAGAAAGATTCTGACCTTTCAGACATCAGAGTGAGGACAAGTGATTTATTTACTCACAGTGCTTCCCAATTTTTTAAAAAATACTGAGTAGAAGATGGTTTCTTTTTTTTTTTTTGGTGGTTGAGAATCTTTAATTCTTTTCACTTGAGGCAAAGGAGACAATCTGCATTAATATTTAGCATTAACATTAACATCTAGTGGACTTCTCTGGGTCATGAATGGTATACCATACTTTGCACATATAATGAAATTCAGAAATAAAATTGGTACAACCTGAAAAAAGAGACCTGTCAAGGAAATACATGTGTACCCATTTTATTGCTTCCATCAATAAAGCCACTTACTTTGTACTTGGTCGTATTTCTTGGCCATTTTTATACCACTTGAGCTCCACTGTTGGATCTGCTAACTCCACCATGAACCTTACTTTACCTCCTTTGTCCACCTGATAAGCAGGATCAAGACCTTTGGCAAAAGCTGTTGTGGAAGACAAGTGTTATTATAAAAGAAGATCAGATAACAAGAATATGAATGCTAAAATGACATTGCATAAATCTCATCAAAGCTGTCAGAATACATGCACACGTTATGCGTCTCTGTATTCTTAAGCTTGTCCACGAGTCAGTTTATTTTCTAGAAACATTAGACTAAATGCAAAGCTGTGCAGATGTGATTATCCTGACCAGTTTCAAGCCAGTATCTCTGCTTAATTCCTTCCAGTAATAAAGCTTGAATTGTAGCGTGCAAGTCCCCTTATATGGGAATGAAGCAAGTTTTGCTTTTTAAGGTGGATGCTAATGTTTACTGAACATCAAAATATTCTGCCTTATCCATACCTGCACTCTTCTTCACTTCCCTGCGCATGCGCTTCAGACGCTTTAACATGCCTCTCAGGTCAGTGATACCATACTGAAAAGCAATCTTCTCATATTCACTGGGGTTAGCATTCTTCAGGAGCTCCCACACATCTACCTCAGGTTCTTCATCTTGCTGTTTAATCTCCCTAACAGTAGCAAGATAAAAGTATGGGAGAAGAGTTAGTGAGGCTTTATCACACCATAAAAAAGGTGAACCTGGATCTATGGTAAGGTTTAGAAGTGTTTTGATCAAAATTTGAAGGCTGCCATCATTTTTTTATTTCATTTGGTGTGAGCTGAATAGCTCAGAATGACATTCACAGCTTGCTTTATACTTCTTCAAGGCAGAATTTGGCCTTTTCTGGTGTAATCATTTATGAGAGTTTTTATATTGCTTCATTATTATTAAAAAAAAAACCCAAAGCACAACAGTGAAAATGTTGCTCTATAATAACGTGTGGGTAAATCCCACTTAAATCACTTTTGTCTGTTGTAACTTGAATGGAATCAGTTACAATTTATGATGGCACCACTGAGATCTGAGTCCAATCCGTACATTTCATAATTATATAAATATGCTTTCAAATCCTAAGTCCCTGTAACTGCTACTAGTAGTGACTAATGAAAAGGACATTGAAATCCAAGGGAATCTGGGTCTGTGTGTAGTTACACCAGTGCTTCTGTTACTTGAAGTTGGCTTATGGATAAGAACTCGAGATATCCACACCAGCTTGGACTTGCAAGATGGATCTGTTGACTTCCATGTTTATCTCAGTCTTAAGAGCAGGAAGTATTTTCAGAGGCCTGTGTGAGGCATCACCGTTATACAGAAGATTCAATACCGATTTTACTATCTGCAACTCCAAACTAAGACAACCAATAAAGAGAAGTAGAATTATTTTCACAATGTCAGCCATTAAATGAGAGAACAACGGAAGCATCCTCAACAAAATGATAATTTTTGAGATTGACAGTTTAGCTCAAAAAAGTGAACTGCTAGAACAACCCAGGAATTGGAGCGGAAATCTAGATTTTTTTTTCCTCTAAATTCATTAGGATCAGACCAGGATCATTCTGATTTGATCTACTTTGTCTAACGAAGTCAGCACTTTTGAGAACAGTGTGAGGAAATAAACATTTGAGAAATGAAAAATGACTGAGCTTTGGAATAAGGCACAGTTAGAATTGAGCTCTATCAAGTCAGACAGAGAATTTTCTTTGATGTATACAAAAATAACACAGGGGGTCCCTGAGAATCTCTGCATGGCTGGATTAAGAACCATGGGAAAACATTTAACTGTTTAATCCATGAGTTTTATTAATTTTTGTAATATGCCAGTGTTATTTTAAAAAGGAAAAAAGCTTCTGACTGAGGAGTCTTTGAAACACTTATATTGTTATCTTAGAGCTACTGTTAGACAATTACAGGTATGTGATTTTATGTTTCTTTCCTTTTACTTTTATCTGTGTTTATGCTTTCTGGAGAGTGACTGTGCAGCAAACACTGGTGTTTCAGTGAGATTCCTTCTGCATGACAGCAAGACAAGATCAGCTTGCAAACATATATAAAATCTAACATGCCCCATGGGGTGTCACTCTCCTCTCCCAGGTCTGGCTGTTTGCCATGCAACGCCTGTCCATGCTAACGAGAAGTAGACTCCATGGGAATCAGGATCATGTACCCCTTTAAATAGGGCAGTAGTTGAGAATGAGGATCAGTTAGAATATCCTGATTTTCAACCACCTTGAAATAAGTAATTCCAGACTCTTTTTCCCTCTTGTGTAACTGGAGAACAAATAAAGCAAACCAACATTGTTTTGAGACCACAGTGCTGTTTCTGCTGTGTGTAGTGAGCAAATAAGGCTTGATATTTCCTAAGCAGACCTATCAATCAGACCTGCCTCTCTACAAAATCACTTTTAGATCTTTTCCCCAAAAATGTGCATTTCATTGAAAGATGTACTTTTTTTAAAAAAGGACCTAAATGTCTGAGTGGTTTTGAGATCTTGTGCCTTTTGGAATTTCGTGCTGTTACTCATCCATTGCATTGACGAAGCATAACCAGTCACAGAGCAGCTTACTGAGATAAGAACTGGTTTGTCTTCCTGCAAGACCAGCATGAAATTTAAAAATAGGCAGTATATAGATTCTACGCATTTAGGTCTTTTTAAAAAAACATGTTTCAAGTATTATGCACCACAGGTGAAAAGTTCTAGCTATTTCCTTGGTAATATAAGCATAAAAAAGAGAAGGAATGCACCTGCAATGTTGCCTTTTGAAAAAATGAAATGAAAACATGTATTTGGCTTCATAAAAATGGATATTAATACCTAATACAATTAGCAATCTTATTCAATTAAGCTCAGAAGTATGAGGTTGCATGTCGGTCCCTGGAGTGAGGAGGTGATGAACCAACTTGACCAATATCAAATAATGGTGTTTAGAAAGTAGAAGTTTGCTTTGCCCATTCATCACATGATAGGTATACTATGTTTATATGGTTATACAGCATTTTTCTTACAAAACTTGTGAGATACTTGTTAGTGAAGTGATAATGACTCTTAAATTTTCTTTCCACAAAAACACCAAGGCCTTTTACATGCAATATTCTGTTACACCCCACAGGCAGTCAGAAGAACTCTCATGGTAAGTTGTATTAGTATGATAAAAAGTCAGACTGAAGATCCTAATTAGGGATGAGAAGATTAAAAACCAAAGACCTGGTGGATGTGAATTGGTTCAGGTAATCCTTTCACTGCCTACTTATACCTTCAGCCTTTGCTTTTTGCTTTATTTACTTAAATACTATCCTCACCATCACAGCCCATGGGCACATTGTTAACTTTTTATGTAATTAGTACTGCACATTGGGTTTCTTCTGTAAGAATGGTAGATGAGATAAAGGGTCTAGTTCCTTTTCCAATTTTCTGTGGTCAGCTGCCATTGATTTCTGTGGCATATAGTATTTCTGTGATAAATTTTTAAAAATAGCAAATTAACAATCTTGTCTTAACCTGCTAAAAGACTAAACTGAGTTTAAGATCTGAGGTAGCTAGAGGCGTAAGTATCATAACACCATAGTTTCAAGGCAAGCCAGAGAAACACATGTCCAAGTTTTTCTCTTCCCAGAATTTAAGTTGAATAAAGCACTATTGAACATTTGTGTGAACATATTGAAAGCTTCAAAGAAGTAATATCAATTTCTATAGCTTGAAAGCATGGTAGATGCTTTTATGTATCAGGATGCTTATAAAAACAAATTAAGAAGTGTTCAAAGAGGTAAATTTAACTCTTGCATTTTTTACTCTTGCACCAGACTCAATTTTCTGAACTGCTCATCCCAGTGTAGGAAATCACCCCCTCTACCCTCCATGCAAGCACAAAAGAAATAGCAAGTAAGCTAAATGTTATTGGTCTCTTTAGATTGTGGCTCACTTTTTATCCAGTGCAGTCAAATCTGAGGTTTGTTTTCTGCACATTTAAAGGTACAATTAATTGAACATTTGCATATTATACTATGAGACTGATAGTTAGAAACACTGAAAAAAAAAGGTCAGAAAATTCTTAAGAAGTTATTAATGCTACACCTGACTCTTTCTGTGTGCGAACCTAATGGTTTGCAATCCACACCTGCTCACTGCATCACTTGGTTCTCACCTACGTTTCAGGAGACCACTAAAGTCAAGTTCTCCTGCATCTTCTTGTCCTTCACCGCTGTTATTAATAGAAAAAGATCAAATCTTTGTTTAATACAGGAAGACTTAGACAACACACATTGTAAACACTCTAGACAACACACATTGTAAACGCTCTAGACAACACACATTGCAAGCGCTCTATATGTCTCATATAGAATCATAGAATCATAGAATGGCTAGGGTTGGAAAGGACCTTAAGATCACCTAGTTCCAACCCCCCTGCCATGGGCAGGGACACCTCACACTAGACTGTGTCGCCCAAGGCTCCTTCCAGACACACAAATTGTATAAGCCAACACAAACTTGTATCCTTTTTCACACAAATTATGTTTCCTTGGGCACTTGTGAAAAATAACACAAAGGTTTGTATTGCTTGTTATTATACTTCGATGACAAATTTTTGTAACTGCATACATAAATTTGCCAAGATTTGTGTTAGATTTCAGTGACAAATAAATGTGAGCTAGTCAACACAATGAGCTTTGTTTTTCGTTTCCATAGTGTATGCGTGTAAAAACAAAGGGTTTGTGCTGATCTTTTGCTTTGAAAGTAAAACAAAGATTTGCATTGCTGGGTGGTATTTTTAACAATGAATAGCTGTGTCAATTACTGATTGCAATGCATTACTTTTAAGATTTAACCTTTCTCTAAATGAAAGTAGAAATCAGTTGAAAACCAAAGAAACAGTACATCATACATTTTTACAGAGAGTCTCACAGTCCTGTTAAGGTGCATTTCTTTCTATAATGTGACCTTAAGCAGTAATACCTTATTATAAAGCACATATAGACAAAAGAAATGCCTTTAATGTTTGTAAAAAGAGCAAAATTCTGCAAATGTTAAGTCAAATGATGCCAATATTTCATCCCAGATTTTGCATGCGAGGTATCACCTCAAAAATCAGAAAGTACTCAGATATTCTCATCCACTTGTGCAGAATGGGTGTTGCAGTTTTTTAAAGATATGATGAAGAAAGGAGTGCACCTTGAATGTAACATCTTTTGCATTTACTCTTGAAATCAATCGCCTCTAAACAAAAGCAGTTACTTCTGAATCACATCTTTACTTGTATATGTAAATTAACAAACTGCATTCATGCTCTGAATGTTTGTAAAACATCTTCATTCTGAATATTTCTGACCTTGTAAGACAATTTTCTCAATAATCTATAAAGACATCTATACTATTTTGAATTGCTATTTTATGACAAAGATGACAAAACTTAAGGCACAATGCTTTATCTTACATCCTCTGCAATATATTATTTGTAGTTTTTCCATAATGATGGCCTTATGACAGTTTTTTACTGTAAGATAACATAAAGCCAGATTCTATCTCCTCGAAATCAGTGTGAATTTCCTCTCTGCTTTTAATCAGTACAGGACTGGAGCTAGGAACTTTTGTATTGTCACAGACAACGGTCAGGAAACATGTGATTGATAGAATATTTTAGTGAATGAAAATACAATTCTAAAAACCTCTAAAGAAAAACATTTCATTACCTTAGATAGTCCATATTCCCTTAAAGCAATGATCCTGTAATTTTGCAGTAGAGTCTATAATATCATATGTGCATGTGTTGTAAACAAATTCATTCTAGACACTACCAAGTATCCCACTTCTTTAATCTTTATTCACAAAAAAAATTATTTAAAAGTACTTGATACAATTGTCTGCCAAGACTGATGCAAGCTCTGTGCATACTACCAGCATCCATTACTGAGGAACTTCATAAGACCACTATATTATGTTACCTTCTTTTGAAAGCAGATCTGATGTCAATGGATTGGGCAGCTTGGGAAGACTCTATGAAATAACAGTAATATAGGAATTAAAAACTTAATTTGAAATTAATGTACTTTATGTAATCAGTGCAACTTAGCATACTGAATTTGTTCAGTGTCCTGCTAAGTGACCACTATTTGTGCTGCTTCTTCGGTATTAAGTTCTGATAAATGCAAAGCTGTTCAGTGCTAAGCTAAGTTTAATTAATGCATTTCTCTAAACTACTTTTTGCAGTTCTGCACAGGAGATCTCTCCCAGTGCTATTTCTCTCCAATCCCCTTCCTGCCTATACACAGGCTCTTGCCTTTTTGTTTTCCCATTCCCTATGCTTTGTCTCCTGCTTGCGTCTTGCACTTTCTCAGTATGCTCAGCATCACAGGAAAGAAACAGTCTTCTCTACAACTGCAGACTACTGTTGATTCTCAGTGCAAGGATGAATCCCTCTTGTGCGAATTATCCATTTGTGCCAGACTGAATCAGATTAAGTGGTTCTGATCCACAGCCAGTGAATGGATACAGCTGGGTTGGCCTCTGCCTCACTCACCTCTGAATACACACGCCTACCTATGCCCCTCAGGCTGTCAGTCAGTTGTCAAATGCCCCCTTAACTGTGACTGGCTTCCCCTGACTGGTGAACAAATAGTCTGGTTTAGGCCATTTGGTAAGCGTGCTCTGTGAGGGTGAACAACTATTATGTCCTCTGGCTGCTGGTCCTGGAATTTTGGAAGACATCCATCTTCCTCAGTCTGATTGTGCAGGTATGTGTGCACTGTTGTACTGGCAGAACTGCTCTTGAAGGAAAAGATAAGCCTGTATGTTAAGGTTTGCCAGAATAAGACCTTTTACAACACAGAAGTAGACAAAGGCATCACTCTCCAGTGCTTTCCACATTGTGTTAGTCTTTATTTTAATGAAGAGTGGAAGAAACAGCTTTCTGGAGTACGATCACGCCATGCCTGATCAGAGTGCAAAAGCACTGGCAGGCCGCAAGCACTCCACATCCCTCTGTTCAGATGCTGCCAGATGGAGCCTTTCTGAATAGCCTCAACCTAGCTCTCTGTCTTGTGTGCCAGAGCCTGACTTGAATTCAGTACTAGTTTTATCTGCCAGCTTTTCTAATTTTTGGATACGTGTCACATATTATCTATTCCAATGTTCATTTAAACAATAACTTGCAGACACTTCAGAAAATTCTCTGAGCGCTATGCTAAAAAAGTTCATTGTCAGCATTGCTTCATTTAAAGGTTCTGAACAAACTTAGGTGACATTTCAGGTTATAAAAAAAAAAAAAGTCTTTATAAAGCCTTACAGACACAAATGGAGTCTTACCAGTGACTTCAAGGTCAAAAGAGCAACTGTCAAACTTGTCCTTATAAGACACTTCACAGCGATAGTTCCCTGCGTAGTTTTCTTTAGCTTTAATGATATGCATCTCAAATGTGTGAATCTAAAAATCAAACATCATTGCTCATTAATGTGAAGGATACATTTGCACAAAGCAGAAGTTAAAGGATTAGTCTTTCAGACCTAAACCAGGAGCAAGGAATAACTTGAATAAAGGGCTCTGGAAAGAAACTGCAACCCAGAAATGGGATTGGAAAACTTTGCCTTCCCCACCACTACTTGTCCTGAGCAGGGAAAGCAGAAAAGTCTGCTTTGCACAGCATCAGAGATCATCACTGAAATCTGCATGGGGAAGGCAGACTTAGAAGCCACTGCTCTTAAATTTCTACCTGTTGTCTTTCAGCTCTCTTTGAAGCTTTGCCCCTTTAAGAAAGAAAAGCAAAGACACACCTTAGTGTGACGCTCAAAGGACTCTTTCAGCTGCAGGTGCTTCCCTGCTTTACTGGCCAGGTCCATCCATTTTCCTTTGAACCACTTAACATTTGGCTTTCGGAGAAGATCTTTGGCTTCTACTTTGGCTATAAATGTAATATTCCCACCTTTTGAAAAGAGAAGAAGAATAATGCAGTCATTGAAGAATGTTGGTCAGTCACATCTGTGTAAGTTTCTTTTACTACTGCTCCATCCAGTCTCCACATGCTAGCTCTACCATGACAGTAAGAATCAGATTTGAAAGTACTGCAGTCTTACAGAGATTGATGATTTGGGGTCCTTCTGCACATGTTGATGTGGACCTTGAGACACTGAGAAGCAGGATAAATTAGTTGAGGCAAAACTCTATGTTCTCATGGGTGAATTGTTCCCCATATTTGAATTTCCTTGCTTAAAACAAAACCAGGTATTTCTAGGCTACTAGGCAGTTGTAACATGAATAAACTCCAGTCTGTATATGAAAGCCTGGAGCTCTTAATGCATTTCTATCAGATTCTTTAA